ATAATTTCCACCCCCGAGCGGGGTGGCATCGACCCCCGGGGTAAAAGCTCAAGTTGACACTATGTCAGTTTTGTTTATTTCGATATCCTCTAACTGCTCACCAATTTTCATGAAAATCGATGGAGGTTCAACGAAATCGGAGTGAAAACCTTCAGTGACTACTATTAGAACGTAGTTGAAAAGTAGTTAAATCTTTTAAAATATTTTTTATCTCCGTTTTTAAGATTCTGTTGTTTAATATTCCCGCCTTTGCTGTGATTGTTCGTCGGAATCTATAGAGCTTCATTAAAATTCTTTAATTATAATCATATTTTTCTCTCTGTTTACAAATTTATTAGAATAGTTCTTTTGGAAGCGTTTTCTTAAACCTTCGTGGCATTATTATCTTCTATTGTTTGTTATAATAATACACACATCTATAAGTATAAAGTTTATTTGACAATTAAGAATGTTACAATATGTACATTATTTAAATATATAAATATCTTAGTAAATATTACTTTTATACAAAATATGAAATAAATTACAGATGCCATTGAAAACGAATGTCAATAAATATTTTTTAAATTAATGAATTTTATTAAATTAAAACTAAAAATACAATTATACTAATAAGTTATCTTTTTTAAATAATTTTATCTAAACGCCGTAAAAACATTTCTGGAAGTCGAAGTTGTGAATATGGGTCGTAGGAGTTTAATTGCGTCATAAATTATGTTATGAATTTCCAAAGTTGCTTCACAATTATTGAGTTATAAATAATATAATCATATATCATAATCTTTTCAATTTTAACGAATTTAAAAATATTGTTTGCTTTTGTTATCGAAAATAGTTCTCTATTGAATTTTGATTCAAAATTCGCAAGTTTTTTAACGATGTATAACTTCCTAACAGCTATAGTGAACATAACTTTTTTGAATGGCAAGAAATAATTACAATAGGAGCAGAAAAATAAGCATTTTACATCTATTCCGACGATATATCAATGGTCACGAAAACAGTAAACAATAACTTAGAACCTTGGAAAAAGCTTTAAACAGAGTCTATAAACGACAAAATAGTTGATTATACCTAAAGTGGCAGAGTTGCTGGTTATTTAAGATGAAAAGAAGGAAAATTGAGGATATGGGCGAAGAAAGTAGGCAATAAAATATCATACGAATACCCATTAAAAGTACCGATAGACGTGCAGTTTCACCAGAAATCTCCATAGACCATACAGTTCAAGTTCTGCTTGAAAAGAGCCATTTGGAGACCAAATGATTTCCTATTGAAGTTATTTTTTCAACACCAGTGACGATTATTCGGATAACGTAGGAAACCTGTCTCTTTTTAGTCCATACCAATCTTACTTCTAGATCTCCTCTAGAGCTTCTTCTAATTCAAAAATTCAGTTTTATTTGCATTCCTTTACTATTCTCTTTAATTTGTATTTTAAGATTTATTTCCAAGTGAAAATCGAAACGTCAAAATAAACCTTAAAACTGAAATTACGGTTAATTCCCACTAAAGATAGTAAATACCAGTCCCTTTATTTCTAGGCTCGATATCTATACTGTTGGTGTGAGTTTGGTAAAGGATTTTGGAGGCAGTATGCGTTGCCGATGTTCATACTGTAGTAAAACTCCGAGTAATGCCACTGTGTCCGACGAAAGAGTCGGGGTTTCTAGAAAAGAACTCAGCTTCTACCAACAAATCCTACTCCTGTGTCCAGCGAGTTTCCAAAAAACTGGAAATATATCGGTACCAAAATCAAGGTGTGTTCTTAAGTTTCGAGGGCTGAATGGCTGGTTAGTTAACAGTCGCTATGTGGACCTCCGGAAACCAGGCCACATCCGGGTGTAACTAGCCTTACCCGAACGAGCAGGGCCAACTACTTCCCTAGCTACTCGTGCAAACAGTATGAATCTCGCATCAGTAAGTCTGAAAGTACTCGTGCGAACAGTAAGCCAAACTCTCGTGATTAAGACGAATTTAACAAATACGCCAAAAAAAGGAAAAAAAATAGAGACAAAGCAAAGGCCGAAAGCGGCTAAGAAGAAGCTGCAAAGAAATAGTAGCCACAGTTACAAAATATTACTCGCCCGTCGACGTCAGGAAGACGCGAAAAGCTAGGAGATTTTTTTCGTGGAGGATAAAGGTGGCGGTAGTGTGTGAAAGGTTCCCCGAAGTTCAAATGGAACAGACAAAGCTTAAGGCAGCGGAAACTTTCATTTTGAAACTTTATAAAGAGAAAAAGAAGATGACCCACAAATAAGGCTCACGAAGAGCACGTTCAATTCAGGATATCTAGTAATTGATCGTGCGGATGGTGTTAGTGCAGAAAAGAAGTTCCTAGTCTGAAACACTGGGACTGTGGACAGTAGCGAAATCTTTAGGCTATATACTTGCACATTATATTTATGTTGCAGATGAACATGGGGTGAGGTCAGAGACTAAGCGGATGCTAATCCGATTATAGATTAGTAACCGTGAGCTCAATACTCAATTATGGACCGTTTGGGGAAAGACTCCTTCGGAATAAAAACAGGTCTGGGTATTCTCTTTGGACAAAAAATCCTTTGAGGATATCAAGTGACTTCGCACGCGTCGATAATTTGGTATAGGATGAATTAAGTTGCGTACCAAAGAAGTTGGATAAAGTAAGAAGGTAGGTGAGGCAGGAGAAAGGTTAGTTTAGTCTTACGGTTCAGACTAAAGAAACAAATACGGTTAAGACGTCCGAAATGCAAAGCTGTAATGCAGCACTCGGGTCGAATAAAACCCAAGTAAAAAAGGCTTCCTGAAAGAACTAATACCAGGGAGAGCACTAAAGGTAAGAAGACTGCAGGTCTTCCGTACAAGGGCCGTAGCATGAGAACTGGAGATGGTGTTAGTCCACTCAAAAAACCAAAGAAATCAAAACTTTGAGATTTAAGGCAAAGGCAGTAAAATATGGTTGATCGACTCTGTCTACTTCGCAGGAGATGGGAATATCTGTCCCCCAGGCATAGTGAAGGATATAAATATAATTGATTACGATCAGAAGGAGAATCTTCAACTAATAGTTATTAAAAATAGTTCCAATGAATTTTCACAATATTTTTCTTTCAAATGCAAATAACAAAGTTAACTAAAGTAAGCCAAGCAGAAATGACATACCACGAGGAAGAAAAATCAATATAACCACGAGTAATAAATACCCCGTGGATTTAGCAAACTAGCTTTCAATAACAACGAAAAATATTAGTTATAAACTTTTAAAGCAACCATTGTTCATTTCAAATTCGTAGCCTGTTTCATTCTTAATAAAAAAATGTGTTGAAAGTAAAAAATTAGGGCAATAAACTATCAGGATTATATTTCTTTATTAATGTGTATTGTCCAAAAGTTTGTTTTAATATGACACTGCAAGATAAAAAAGGTAACTCCTTATTTATAATGTACAACTATTGCTACAAAATTACCTGGACTATGTACAAATATAACTAGTCAATCTAAATATTTGTAATATATTTACATTAACAAACTGGTAAATTTGAAATGAAGTCCTAAAAGAGAAAAATGTATAATTTTCTGATGAGGAGATAATAGTGTTTAGTTTGCTATAGAAATTTAATATGTATTGTTTAACCAAAGTTATTGATGTATATTTCAAAAATATATAGTAGAGTCCCTGTAGACAGAAATTTTATTCATGACCTTATTCAAAACCTTAATCAAGAACTTAATTCAATTTTAGTTTTTGATATGAGTCAAAACCCAAACACCAACTGGAGGAACAAAACAGTGTAATACTGGTATGGGTTCCAGGTCATCGGAAATTATTGAATTGTACTACGAACTACTGCCCCATCAAACTGTTACCCAAAATTTTAATTTTTCGTTTGTAGGCTAAAATCTTATTGGACTGCCCTCTTAAATGTTGGTAATTGAAATCGAGATCAATGGTAATACGCTACAAATCGTAATGGATTGCTATATGTGTAAAGGCTTGGGCATAAAAAATGAGATCATTATGTAAACTGAACACTTTTGAAATATGCGGCTTCGCCAATTAATAAAATGTCATAGGTGTTAACAAACACATTTAAAAAGGGAATACTTAATGAAATAACCTACAAACTATTCTATAAGAAATAAAAGCCAATGCAGTACTATAAGAAAACGTTACAACCTTAATCTTATATGACTTTTCATAAGCAAAGAGACTTTTTCATTGGTGTACTAACTCCCATTTATGGAAACTGTTAAGTTTATTAGAGACTGATATGGGCTGGATACATTGCTAGCATATTAGATAATGGGTCTACAAAGAGATTGACATTCTCAAACCCAGAGGGCAGAAGAAGTAGAGGACGAGTGCGTAGTAGATGGATTGATGATGTCTATACCTTAAGATGCTAAGGGTGGATTCTAAGAAAGATCGAGGGAAGTTGCAAGGAATCGTCGAGAGTGGCGTCTACTTGACGAGCAGATCAAGGTCCACAAAGGATTGTCGAGACAATGCTAATGATAATGACTTAAGGAAACTAACGGAAACGCAAAGATATCAGTACCAGAAAATAAATTTTGTAAGTACATATTATATGTTGTACTGACTAATTCTGAGCTTCTTATTGAAACATTTTTGCACAGAAAATACATAAAGACGACAGTAAATGAATCGAAAGGTAGAATACCAGGAAACCATATATATTTTCGACTATATTGACTCTACTATAAATGAAAACAGAATTTTTCACCCCATGTATTGTCAGCAATTTAAACATTTATCTATAAAACCCCATGAATAATATACTTTATAAATAGTCCGCATCCAATTGAAGTGGAACATTGGGATAACTCTATGAAATGTGTATTGACACATTACTGAATATAATATTAAAGGTTTAAAATACTTTTAAGACATTTGACTTCAACTGAATTACAAACTTTATTGAGAATGTATACTAATAAATAATCGCAGAGTGTTATACCTAATATCTTTAATGTTTCGCCAAGCTTAGTTCTATGTTGCTACACATGATTGTTGAATTTGGAAAACAGTACACAAACTGTCAGAAAATACTGACGGTCTCGAAATTCCGCTTGATCAAATTCAAGAAGTAGGAGAGGAAATGGGCATTAAAATAAACTCCAATTTTAGATGTAACCCACATCCAGATACAGAGCTTCACTTAAATGGAGTCCAAGTTGAAAGAGTTCACACAATTACATACTTGGGAACTGTCATAACGAACCAACTAGATCCAGACATAGAAATAAAACGAAGAATAGTAATTACAAGAATAACAGTTTCGAAATAAGATAAAGAATGGTTAAGTGCTATATTTGGTCTGTACTTTTGTAGGGAGCAGAAGTGTGGACACTAAAAGTATCAATTATGAACAGAATTGAAACATTGGAAATGTATATATTCATAAACAGATGCTGAAGATATATTGACAAACAAGAAAAACTAATGAGGAAGTACTAAGGAGGGTCAACAAAGAAAGAGAATTGCTGAAGACTGTTGAACACCGAAAAATGTCTTATCTGGGACATATAGTGAGGAGAAATTAATACAAAATATTACAACTGATCCGTAAAGGCAAAATAGAAGACCATATAGGTTTAGGAGGAAAACAGGTTTCTTGGTTAAAAACATTCGTGAATGAACTCAGATATCAAACACAAGACAATTATTCCATGTGATGGAAGATCGAGAATTTCCAATGATGTCGCCAACGTCAACGCCAACAAGAAAAAGAAGACGCAAACAGCTCAGCACATAAAGTTAAAAGAAACTGGACAAGACAATTCTTACAATGGTCTAGTATTGAGAATTGTCTGTTGAGTGATAAGTCAAGATTTTGGCTTCTTACTCATATACGGGAATATTTGGAGCATCTTTGAAAGTGGCATTTGGAGGGGGAGATACAACTATGATATACTACAAATACAAACAGATATATCTAATGGTAAATACGTAATATCTCTCATAAAAATAGAAAGACTAAGATGGGCAGCACATTTAGCAAGATCACAGCAAAACAACCCTCATAGATGATTTCTTAAATCACAGTCAGTGGGAAGTAGACAGACAGGTAGGCCAAAACTTAGATGAAAGGATGTACAGATGAATATGCTAGAAAACTAGCTGCAGTAAATTCACAATGAATAGGGCTGACTGCAATAGACTTGCAAAGTTGGAGGCTCTATTATAGAGCTGTAGCAACATTGATGATAATTACTAAAATTATGAAAAAAACAATTGCAAATTTTATTTTTCTTCAATTATGTATCGACGTAATTTTTATTATGCTAAATGAATTATTAGTTTGAAAGATTTAATTTATGTATAAGTTAATACAAAGATCAATTTTTTAACTTATATTTCATAAAAATTGGAAGCCATTTGAATGATACAGCAGTTTTAATTTAAAAATACTGCAAACAATATATAGTGTTCCACTTCAACTTACAGTTCGTGTATAATCATATAAAGTGTATATTAAATGTGAAAAGTCTAATTTTATTTTTCTCTCAACTTTTAAAAGTATTGAACAGTGTACTTTATAAATTTTCGTTTAACCTTATCATAAAATAACTTAATAAATTAAATATTATGGATGAGGCATTAAATAATATTAAAATTAGCATATTAACTAAGGCAATAATCGTTTGTACTTTAGTTAGATGAAATTGAATTTTTAACTGTCACTATCAACTAAATTCGTTCCCCTCATACAGATTTTCACAAACTTCTAGTAATCTCAAGATTGGCGTTATATTGTAGGGAAACAGATCTCTCGAAACTAACCTACTTATTTGCATTTTTAACCTAATTAGAACACTCATAGTGTCATCTAATTCATTTCCCCTCGAAGTACTACCCTCTCCACAACTACTTATAAACTTTGACCAGTTTCTTTTTGTAAACTTTAGAAACCGTAACAAGTACAATAAAAAACATGTTTCGTTACTTACTAGATAATCTAAAAGTATTTCTGGATCATGACTTACCACCTTTAAAAATTCTATAAACGAATGTATTGGATTTAACATGTTTATTAAATCTGGATATACCGCATTTCTATAAGAAATACCAACAGTTATGTCTAATGTACATACCATAGCTTCTATCATATAATCATCTTGATCACTGAATAAATGTACAAGTATTTTTGAAAAAGGTGTTTCAGGATGAAAGTCCAAGCTGTTTTTAATAAAGACATCAACCTTCTTAAGAACGTCCCTAATTGAACGTTCAATAAGTTGCATGTCTTGATAAAAATCTGAATCATCTGAACCTACACTGGAATCGGAACTGTCTGACCTTGTTTCCTTAATTGTAACAGCCACAGATTTTAGTACAAGTAAAACCATTTTTTGCAATAATGTTTTATCAACGCTACTCTGTCCAGGTTGTAAGCTAACTATAGTTCCCACAAAACTATTCACTATAAATCCCTCATTACGTTTGTAAGGCAAGCTATCTAACAGTCGATAATCTTTCACATACCTTACTAAAAGATGGGCCAACTGACATGTGTCATCTGGTAGCATATCTTGTAAGGCAAGTGTGCTCCCATAACAGAGTACTTCATTAAATAATGAGAGTATCTGTTTCCAAACTATGGGTGGCAACTGGCCATTGAGCATACCAACAAATATTTCTAAGTGTGCATAAAATGGTTTAGTATCTATGACACTCAAATTTGCTTTGACTGAAATGGTACTTTCCCATAGAGCAAGAAATGTTAAAACACATGTTTGTGCTGGTATTGAATTGTTATGCAAAATTAATGTTTGAACCATATGAATTAGTTCTGGCCATTTAGCTTCCAGACTCTTTATGATCAAACCTTTTATTGCTGAAGTATCATAACTATCTGGATCAGTAAAAGGCACTGTTACACAATTTGAATTTACCACTTCATTTTGGGAACTACTTCCTTCTGATCCTTGAGTATCTGCCTCCTCCAAAACATGTAATTCCACATCTTTCCATTCTACAACCCTTTTCACTACTTCTAAGGCAAATTGAATTTTAACGTAATCATAGTTCTCAGTGGAAAAGAAATTTACTATAGTTTCTAGCCATTCATTATTAATATTTGTTTTGGCTATTACCAGAAAACTACTTAAAGTTCTAGCTGCCAAAAAATTGATATACTTATTTCTTGTTTCACATAACGATATTATTTGTTCAATTAAATTATATTCATTACATATTAGTGCTTCACAAATACTTACAATATTTGAACAAATAAACCCTTTATTGTTTTGTTTTAAATAAACATCAAACAAAAGTTGCAGATTGGATAGAAACTGTAGTATCTTTTTATCTGACCATTCAGATAGCATAGCTGTCCTTACTCCACCACAATCATTAACCTGTTGTCCTTCAAAAGGTTTCCTAAGAATAGAATCTGGAACTCCACACAAACATTGCTTAATCAAATACTTTTGAAAATCATCTAAACCAAAATAATTATCATTATTAATCTCATCACCATTCTCAACATTGTCACAGTGCGCTGCATGTGATGCACAACTTACATGGACCGATTTATTAATAGAAGCATTTATAGAATTAGATGTGAAACTAATATCTGGAGCTGGAGTGATTGAAATATTTTCAGTGCTACATATATACGAAACTTGATTGTCTAAATCCACATCAGATGTTGATACATCCTTGTCCTTACTTTCACTACCACTACTATCAAATTTATCAGTTCTATCACTAGTCCTAAACAAACCATTTTCACTATAATGTAAATTCACAGTATTCCTAGTAATGTCATCCTCATTGATATGAGGGAGAGACAAATGCAGAGCTTGGAAATCTGCTGGAACTGTATCATCTGCTAAGTTATGGATAAAATCTGTTTCATCTGAATTGTCTGTTTCATTCTCTCTTCTCAACTTTTTCTTTAGAGGTTGTTCTGAACTCATTTTACCACTTTTCTCAGTGAGAACCATTAGAGCAACAAGAAATTGGACTGAGAAAATATATGCCTTGCCCACTTTTTATCAGTGATGATTACCTAAAACAAATATAGAGTTATATAATATTATCAGATTTTTTTATATATTTATTTCAAGTTTTTTAACCACTAACTTCTTCAACTATTCGTATTGCAATTCATTTTTTATTAACTGCTTTAACCATCTATAAATGGTGTTAAGTTTTGTCTAGTTGAATCATCAATTATCAGTAGTAATATCCCTAGGTCATTGATAACAGACGAGATAATTTCATGACAATCGAAAGCTCGTTCCTTGGTAACAGCGTAACAGTAACAGCTTAGTAACATACTAAGCAACAAGCTTGAGAAATTTATCATGAAATTATGAGGCATTCATCAATGTCCGAGGGATATTCGGCGGATAATTTTTCGAAAAAAAAAATCATAAATCAACATAACGAAACATTTATTTATTAAAAGTACAGTTAGTGAAAGTACAATTTTTAAAATTTCAGTTAACATTAGATTCATTGCTGTTCTCTACTATAGAACAATATATAATATATTTGTGACTGTAGGTTGTATTTCTGGAATTTTTTCTTTGATTAGCGCATTTATACTTTGAACATTCTCATTGCCGAAACGTGACATTTTAAAATTTATTTGGATGAAGTTGTCAAACTCGATCTTGTTGTCATAAGGATTGAAAATTGCACTGAATACAATTATCAGTCTAATGTTGACATGATTGGGTGAAATCGTTCCACATGACACAAAATGACGAAATTTGAATGGTTGTTAGAACAGTCGAAAAATGATCAATATCTATAGCTTAAATAGTTCTGTCAGTTTTCAAACAAACTTAAAGGTATATATGGATATGCGTAACATAAAAACTGGCTTCTTGTCTCTATATTTTGCTGAAAAATTTACAGTAAGTTCTTAATAATACCTATTTTTGTTATATGTTACTAGTTTTAAAAAAATAAATATGATGTGATAATTTTTACCATTATAATTGATGACCATTTACAGGCAGTTATAACAGTTTATTTAAGGTTTTAATGGTTTTCATTTTGTTTTTGCAGATAAATATCAATAAATATCACCTCACTTATTTTACAGTAAATATGAAAATACTCATACATATTTGAAAATTCCTATGCATGATGCTATAAATTTTGGTGCAATGTCAAATATGGTTGTTAATTTATACTTTGATCATTTTTACACTTTGTTGGTACTGCTAGTGTATCATCACATACAGAGTGGTATTTATTAATTGGGAATTAATTACTAATAACTGTAAATTACCAGCTGATAAAGATAAGCAACTGGTGATAAAGATAAGCAACTGGCCAAAGAAGAAAGGGGATATACTGATGGTATTGAATTGTATTTTTGAGAGATACAGATACAGAAAGTACTATGCTTTGAAAAGATACAAAACATGTATGTCTAGCTACCACTTATGTAAGACAACAACCATTCCAATAAGTCCTTTATCAACAACAAATAAACAATTCAGTATTTACATAAAGGAGTTCATTATGACAGAAAAAAATGGTGGCCTGCCATCATCATGGCCTGTCCACAGATCATCAAACAATGCAACAGTCATTTGGGTGATGTTAATCTTATGTACAGTTTAATGAACAGATTCCAGATGTAGATATAGGTGTGCATGACAAAACTGGAAAAATAAGGTGCAAAGATTGTAAGAAGTGTGATTCTCATGTGAACTACATGAAATGCAATCTCAAGAAAAAACTGCTTTTATGACTTCCATCATTGATAGTTCACAATTTTTCATATTAGTTTTTTTTTATTGTTTTCACTCATTTTTATATTTTATTTGTTAGGATATGTTTTTGTTTTTGTTTGTAATAAAATAACCACAAAAGCAGAATGGTGGAGACCTGAGTCATCAAAATAGCAAGAGATGTCATCAATCGCAGAAGAAGTAGAGGACCGCTCAAAAGATGGAGTGACAACCTTCCATACAGGAATTAATCAGCCAATGAACAAGCAGAATTGCTTATAAAGAGGAAGAAGAAGACTAAAGATGTATAGAATCAACAAATATAGAATGCTCATAGAATGTAACACTTATGGAGATGATGTTTGTTTTAAATATAAATAAAAAAGCTTTGTATCCTGGTTGATTATTATTATTCTGATTAATGTAGGATCAAAAGCCAGGACTATTTTTTATACCTTTTTATAACATACACATATTTCTTTGTAAAATTAGAGCAGGACTATGATTGTATAGCAAACGTGAAGAAAGCAAGGAGAACTCCTTTAGAGCTTCTGGATGAAAAATACAAAAAAAATCCCATAAAGGTAAGATGGCGAATGGACAGAGACTCAGAAGCCAATAATGCACAAACACACATACAACATACACATAAAATATTGTTTTTTTATATGATCTTAATATCAAAATCTATTTATCTATTTAACTAATAAACTTGTATCAGATACACATCTGATACAATTTAGAAACACATTCACCTTCTTTGAAACTGATATGATTCCAGTTCTTAATATATACAGAATATACACTCTATACACATCAAGAGTAAAAAAGTAATATCATTATTAAACATATTAAAAATAACCAATAATTTAACCACTACTGCTAAAACTAAAACAAAAATGTAAAAAGTATGTATGTACAGCGTTAACAGGCCTTTTAGGCCCATTGCTGGATGGATAATTTCCATCGTTTTCTGTTCTTTGCTACCAGCTTCCAATCTCTGATTTCCATCTCTCTGACATCTTCCATCACTACATATCTCCATTTCTTTCTTGGTCTTCCTCTCTTTTTTTTGCCCTCAGGTACTCTCCAAGCAATATTCTTGACTAGTCTATTACCTTGCATTCTTTCTAGATAACTGAGCCATTCTAGTCTATATTTTCTCACCACTTTTGTTATTATAGAGTTAGCATACAAATGGTACACTTCTGCATTAGTTTGTCTTCTCCATTCTCCCTCTACTAATTTTTCACAAAATATTCTGCGAAGTATCTTTTTTCCCCATGTTTTCAATGTGTTCTGTATGGTTTTGTTCATAGTCCATGTCTCGGCAGCATATAGCATTGAGGGTCTAATTATAGTTTTGTATACTCTTATTTTTGTATTACGAGATATATTTTTGGCCTTAATTATTTTGCTCATGGCTCCAGCACACCTATTGCTCTTGGTCAGTCTCAGGTTGATTTCAGTTTCTTCCTTACATGCCCGATCAATAAGCGTCCCCTAAGTACATATATTCATTCACCTTTTCGAATTCTACAACTGATCTATCTTCCACCTCCAATTAAAAGGATCCCCTGGTGTTTATTCCTTTTTTGTTCCAGTCTTTTTGCTATATTTGATAGTTCTTTCCCATTACTTGAAATGAGAACCACATCATCAGCATATGCTAAGCATTGGTGCTCCTTGTATAAAATAGTTCCGCACTTATTTATCCCCACTAACCCTTACAATTTTTTCTAGAATGATATTGAATAGCAATGTAGACAACGGGTCTCCTTGTCAAATACCTGATTTCACTTCGAATTCTTCTGTATGTATGAGACTGTAAAGTTGCATCTCACAGCATAAATGGTTTCTCTAATTGTCATTTTTACCAATCTTATTGTTTTTTCTGGCACTTGGAATTCTTTTAGTGTTTCTATTAACTTGTTTCTGTCTATTGTATCATAGGCGGCTTTGTAATCAATGAAAAGTACTTGTGCTGAAATGTTGTATTCATAGCAATTGATCAGGATTTGTTTTAGCATAAAAATTTGATCGGTTGTTGATCTTCCTTTCCGAAATCCTCCCTGGTATTCTCCTAGATTCTTCTCTACAATATATATTTCTAATCGTTTTTTAATTAGTATGGCAAGTACTTTATATATTCTTTGAGACATTTCTTTGGCATCCCATACTTCTAGTATTAGCTCACCGTTTGTTTATTAAGGCCTCTCCTCCATATTTTATGTTCTCTGCCACAATGCCGCTCTCCCTGGGGCTTCTTTGATTTTTCATATCTTTTATTATTTCTTCAACTTCTTCTCTTGTGGGCTTTGGTATTTCTTCTATTACTATTTGAGGTTTAGGAACATAACACTTTTCTTCAGTAGTCACTCACGTCATTTAGCATCTCTTCAAAATATTCTTATTCTTTCTTAATATTCTTTCCACCTTTCACATATTTGGTCTTCATCCACTATCAGGTTTCCTTGCTTATCTTTTACATTCATCATTCTTCCCTGGTACAGTTTTAATGTATTTTACCTCTTTGTAAAAATTTTTTATTTCATTTTTCTTGTAATTTTCTTCAATGCGCTTTATTTTATCATCCATATACTTTCGTTTCCGCTCCCTTGGGATTCTCTATACTTTTTTTCGTTGTTCGGCATACCTCTCTAGGTAGTCTTGTTTTTGTGATCATAAACTTTTTAAACTCCAATCTGATCTTTTTTTAAATCTGTTCTACATTCGTCATCGAACCAGTGGTTTTTTCTAAATCTTTTTTTTCTTGGTATGTTCTGCGACGTAGCTTCCTTTATAGTGTTTGTCATTTTCTTGAACTTTTGTTGTATGTTACTCACAATAGTACTATCTTGTTTGGCATAGGTTTCTTGTAAATCCTTTTGATAATCCTGCGCTACCTCAAATTTGTGCAGTTTTTCAAAGTTAAATTTATGTTGCACTTTCTTTTTCCGTTTATGCTTTTTAATTATTGCTTCTCTCATATTAATTCTAACCAAAACATGATCTGAGTCTACGTCAGCCCCTCTGCATGTTTTAACATTTGTTATTAAATTGGCGAACTTCTCTTGTACTAAGATATGCTCTATTTGATTAGTTTCATTTGATCCCGGAATTTCCATGTTCCTTTATATATATATATATATATATATATATATATATATATATATATATATATATATATATATATATATATATATATGTATATATATATATATATATATATATTTTCTCCTAAAATGGGTACTCATTATTTTCATTCTGTTTTTTAATTGCGAATGTAATCAATCTTTGCCCATTATCATTTGTATTCAAATGTTTACTTTCTTCACACATTTCTTCACACAATGACTCTAATTTTTCATAAAATTCATCTTTCACATCTTTTTCTTCTATTGGAGCACATATATTTATCAGTGATATCATGTTCTCTTTTCCTTTAACTCTAGTTGCACACATTCTGTCAGATTTTACTATGAATCCTTTTACCTACTCTCATGTACTAGAAAACCCACTCCAAAATTCCTATTATCGCCTCCACTTGTATAAAACTTGTATGGGCTAATCTTTTCAATGTTGTTTCCAGTTAAATGTGTTTCCTGTATCGCTATGATGTGTATTATATTTTTTAAGTTCTTTTATTAGATTAATTAATGCTCCCACCTCGTACATTCCATGTCCCAATATTTAGGTACATATTCTTAATTTTTATTTTGCCATTTATGTTCAAACTCATTTTCCTGTTCATTGCTAGGGTCCGTTGGCATAATGGGCCATCTTTTCCTTTTTCCACTACTATATGCCGTTTTTGGGGTTTATATTTCTAGAATTTTCTTGTTTGAAAGTACCATTTCTGGTCAATACCCGTTTTATGCAATCCACAGTAAGTTTTTTGTACTCTATCTTCACATTTTTACCTTCAGCTCTTAATTAATTGCCTATATTTACGATTTCCTTCCAACATTTGTCTTTCTTTTTCGGTCAGGTCATTGTTGATGAAGATTTTAAGAGTGTTTCATCTGTTGCGTTTATTGGTAGACCTGTAATTACTATGTTATTTCTTTTCATCTATTTTCAATTCTTTCTACTTTGTTTTCAACCTGGGTTAATTTGTTTTTTGTTTCTTCCAATTCTTGATTTATCCTTATATTTTGAAAAGACATTGTAGAAATAGATTGTTGAAGAATATCTGCACACAAGCAACAGAGGGTAAAAAAAAAATTAAAGAATAAGTAAATTCAGGGGAGGTAAACTACAATAAATGACATAAAAACTCAGTAGTATTGTATATACCATTGGAAAAAGAAAGTAACACAAAAAGCTAGATAGAAAGATTAGAATTATAAATGTGTTGGAAAATTTGAAGAAAACTAATTTATGGACAGAAATATGGTGATGAACTACATAATAGAATGTTATTATAATGTAGATAGATCAGCATTTAGTCTTGAAGCTGTAATTAAAAAAAACACCAACAAGAATTTTCATACTTTTGTTCATCTGTTAGAGAGATTTGTGTTCCATTTTTATCTTTAGATCAAAAGCTGTGTAAACTTTGACATGTATTTGCTCAAATTATTAAAAATATAGCAACAATGCTTACTGTCAGTGTATGGACATGCAGATGTTTCCTACTTCTGATCATTACTTCAGATATATCTCAAGTAATACACAAATACAGTAGGTAGTTTGTTGCTAAGAAAGTAAAAAATTACTGTGAAGTAATAGTACCAATTTTGGCATTGACAGGAGTACTTAGAACTGAAAACTCATAACTTTTCTAATTAAGACAAATTAGAAAGGAGAATTGAAATAATGCTGATTGTATGAAAGTATTAGTAATAACAACATTTTCAAAGAAAATACCTAGCTTTAACTATCTATGACACTCTTAAAAACAGAAAAAAGTTTTTTGTTATGGTAAGTATATTCCATCATATGTTAAAGGTGATATGTGGTTAAATAGAATATTTTAGGGTATTCAATCAAATGTTTTCAGGTGTCCAATAAAAACTGAATGATTTCAAATATAGATATATCAAAATAATGTTTCTAAAAAGGAATAATTCATACAGTAAGTATTTTAGTAAATATAATTTGTCAGGTATATATAAGGCGTAAAATAAAAATTTTGCACTAGAACTTTGATATATATTCAAAATTATTGGTTTAACTAATGTCAATTAACTGTTTATTTAGCTTTCAATTCGCATTTTGGATATATATTTGGTTCATTAATACACCCTTTTAATTTAATTGTTTAAAAACACATTAACTAAACTACACTATTCCACGAGTTAAAGACCTAGCAAATCAGTAAACAATTTGTAATAATTTTTAACATCTCTTCCAGGTAGAATTTATTTATAAAATTATAATACCTACTCATCATAATTTGCACAAAAATATAAAGTTCAATTCAGGATTAAACTTATTACATCCTAAATTTATCAAATAATATGAAGAACTCACATTCATGTTTGTGTGTAACAAGTAATTTCGGTAGCTCTTTCAGGATAGCTTGTTTTTCCTTTATTGTAGTAAATTACACCAAAATAGAACGGAGTTAAGTGTAAAAACACTTTCCAATGGGAGTATTTCTTGTAATTGTGTGTAATGTATAAAAAATAATAATATTTATGTAAATAACTATGATTTCTTTTCATAGAACTGCCATTTCACTTCATTCACTACGCGATTGCAGCGCAAACTACTGACAGTTCAATCAAGTTAACGTTTGTGTCGTTTAAAACTCATTCAGAAGTTAACTTTAACTTCATAAAACTAATGCCATAACTTAATTCGACGAAGACATCTTATACTATAATTAAAAATTTATAATGCAATATTGGAAATCATATTTATTATTGATAAAATGGCTTTGAATAAAAAATATTTATTTGACCATATTTTTGGTATGTCAACAACACATATTCATATAACGTACATGTAAGTTATGAATGTAAGCACTTGAAATGTTATAATTATCAATTATTTAGAAACTTTATAAAATTCTTCCATATTGCCATTTGTTAGTAATAACAACTAAAATAGAATAATAATTGTCACTAGAGTTAAAAATACGTATTTACTTATTGTATAAATTACGTTCGTGATTTTAAATGTATGATAAATCAATAGGTGTGTAATCGTACTTCAGATTCAGAAAAGACGAAAAGTAGAAAGCAATTCAGAGAGGGAAAGTAATTTTGATAATAATTAGTGAATAGTCTGAATATATCAGTAATACTTGATATTGAAGTCTAAGAGGAAAAAAATTTTATTTTGAGAAATGGATAATCTTAATACAATATGCTAGTTTGTAATTCAACGTGAAAGGTATTCAAAAGTTGTTCATAGAAGAATTTTCTTAAAGTAATTCACTACATATTCAAAGTGATAGGTAACATCAGTGAACTAAAGAAATAAATACAAAAAATCTAATGGATTGGGTGTCCCATAACCATTCCCGTTCCCTTTCGAGTCGTCTGGATCTAGCAAGAGCAAGTAAGATTTTAATAAAAAAAAGTGGGTAATACATATTGTATTTTTTATAAATTTTCAGCTCAAGCTACCGAATTTGTTCCAAGAGTTATTAGTTCCAGTACATCTGCTTCTCCTAATTTCTTTGGGTAAATAATTTGAAAATATACATTTAATAAACACATATTATACTTGGTTTAGAACATGAAATTGTTTATTCAATACACATATACTTATTCATTTTGCAGATATTCAAGTTCAAACTCTTCACTTCATTCAATATCAAAGAAATTAGATGATGGCAGTTTATCCACATCCCATATTTCTTCAGAATCTTCTTCGCCCCCCTTAGCAAACTTACCAAACAATTCATCTATTGTAACTAGTTCACCTGTTCAGTCAGAGAAAGTGGGATCTAGTCCAGGACCTTCTTTACCAGCCTACCAAGAAAATGTTGGTGGTACTACCTACTTCTATCAGATACAGACCACACCAGAGAACTGCCAACCAAATGAACCAGCAGGTACAGTAAATATTTATTAACTATTTGTTAATTTATTTACTTTTAAGGGCCACCAGTTCATAGAAGTTATTTTACATACACATATTAAAAACTCTCACGTCGGAGCTCTCTGAGAGAAACATCTGTCACTTTACAGAGATCTAATAGGTTAATAATAATAATACTCTAATAATAATATGCTAATCTAAGGTTTATTTAACTACAAAATTTCAATAAGAATCTAGTATTATAGTCAAATTGTCATTTTTAAAATATAGTGGTTTTTAATAGAGAATGTTTTAAATAAAATAGTTTGTGTTTATTTTGGTATTTTGGATTTGAAACAATTATGAAATAATTGATTAACTCTGTGCTTCTGTCTCTCTGAAAAATGTGTCTCCACTGTTCCAGTTTTTGTTCCTAAATCATAACAGCGTAAAATTCATGAACTAAGTATTAGGATATATTTTTTATAAGGTGCTGAAACTGTTTTCTTGTGTTATATTTAAGTAAAATACTATGTTTTTATGGGAATAAGCCAAAATTGGTTGTAATGAAAATTACATTTTACCTAAAAAATTTGATGTTTCTATTTCCACTCTGGAAATCATTCTCAAAAAAGAATATTGAAAACAATAATATTGTTTGCCTATCTGTCTATAAACTAATAGAAATAAAAACTGATACAACAGTATTAACAGACTGAGCTATTGTATCGAACCAATGACATTAATTGACTCACAAAGAAGGCCCTAAAGCAAACTAAGCATGAACTAATGTGTTTTAACTTACAGAATACTATAAATTTATGTCTGTGGATCCGATGCAATTCCTTGATATCAGACATGTATTTTTGCAAATTCTATATCTGTTGTTGTCAAATTTGACATATCCTCTATGTGTGTTCTAAGAAACATACACCAAATATCAAGACTATTACTTTTCTCTCTATTAGGAATTATCTGTAAATTTGGTAACCTTTAATGTATTGACCACACATTCGATAGGATTTTACCTAAGAACCAAGAGGAATATACATGTACCTATATCAACCTTTGACTTGTAGAAACATAAAGAAGCCATTAGGATTAAAGTCAGGACTGTTTGCAGTTTGGAACATCAATTCCATGTTTTCAATAATCCCCTTTTCCTAATATATATATTTTTTTTATTAATAAAACATCTCTTAAGATGTGTCTTTTACACTGAAATCTGATCAGAAAGATCAATGAGCAGTTCTGTTCTATCCTAAATTAATATTAATATATCTTAAAACTATAGTTACATTCATTAATGTTTCTACAGGTCTTTCTTAGGCGAGCGCCCACCAAAGTGGCGTGGCAGTGGCAAGTATCTAGTAGCACGCGTCTAGCATAATGTAACCAATGAAAACGAATGATTCAGTTTACACCAAAATGACAGTAACGTCATTCATTCTAATCATTCGTTAGGATTGGTTACATTATGCTAGACACGTGCTACTTGCTACTTGCCACTGCCACGCCACTTTGGTGGGCGCTCTCACTAACAGTAATTATTAACACAAGCACTCGTGTACACTAAGCCACACTACCCTCTACTTTTGAACTAATCACTACACTAACTGGAAGGGTTTCACCCTCTTCAGTCTTCTTACTAACTCTATATTATCCAGTAGATAGAGAGCCTCGATATTCATATGTTGATGCAATTTTTTTTATGATTGTTGTCACAATTACTTATTATCTCTTCAACAGTCTCCATCTTCAAGTCTCAGTGAATGTCGCTGTTTTAACATACCAAGGGGCATCGACACTGCCCCTTAATAATTTGTTCTGAAAGCGTTGTATCTTTAAAATATTGTTCTAGTGGCACAACTCCAGAGCTGAGGTCTGTATGTCCATATCAGTCTGAGTATTTGTTTATAGATTAAAAGTTTATGGAGAGCTTTGGGTTTCTTCCAAGCAACCAGTACTATTTTATGTATTTCAGTTCAAGTTACTCTCGTTTTTTCTTTATATGGACCTTCCAACAAAGTCTCGTGTCAATATGCATACCCAGTTAGGTACTTCGCAGTATCTGCAACAGGGATTTGGGTATCATTTATTTCAATTGGCACATATTGCTGTGTCTTATTAGTGAAATTCACATGCATTGATTTGGTCTCATTCAAGTTTCATCATATCAATTTCTTATTTCAATGTTTCTCACTGCCAGAACAGCCAGGGATATCGCTAGTGTATAACAAATAGAGAACTGGGCCGAGCACATTTCCCTACTGTATTCCTGCCTTGATTTCCTTTAACTCTGTGTAGGTTTCCTTTCTCCTGCCTTATTCTGAAGTGTCTTTCAGTTAAGTACGACTCTAAAAATTGTGAATACTGCCTCCATAGTGCTCAATTCAATTTATGGATTAGGCCTTTGTGCCATACCTTATCGAAGGCTTGGGTCACATCCAGGAAGATAGCTGGGCAGATTTGTTTTTCTCTCTAGCGCCTTTTCAATTATGTTAGTGATTCTATGTATCTGATCTACCCTTTAATGACTCTCTCTAAAGCCAAACTGATTTGGTGGGATTAATCTCTTTTCTTTGATGATGATTTTTAGTATTTTCATTAGAATCTTTTGATATAATTTTGAAAGTACAAACAACAATGAAATAGGCCTGTAGGATGAAGCCTTATTTGGCGGCTATCCTGGTTTTTCAATCATTATGACTTCTGCCACTTTCCACATTTTGGAAAGGGATTTTGGTTCATGTCTCTCGGCGAGTTCTCGTGAGACAAGAATTGTTAATAATATGAAAAACAGTCGTAAGAAACGTCGTTGTTGGCTGAGACAGTGGTTTCTAAGAAGATATAGATTGCATCAGAAACATTGCTCAAGGAGGATAAAGCAGAGTATAGAAACCATTTAGGAATGTTCGAAGAAAAATTCGACAAATTGCTGTCAAAAGTGAATGATCATAAAAACAGATACAGTGATGCGACAAGCAATATCACCAAAATTAAAGCTGAAAGTTACTTTAAGATAAGTCTATGAGACCTTCTCTATTAGATATATCAGATGACTTCTGCGAATTCTCCGTGCATTACTGTCTATAGTGTGATTGGTTTGAAATTACTGATGTTAAAGATTTTCTATCCTTAATTTTTGAAAGTGCCGGTGATGGAGATTGATAGGTGAAAATAACGGTGAGGAAATTGTGTCATAATTATACTCAGAAGGCACTGATGACACTCGGACTGTCTTCTTGAGAGCTGTAATGTTTTTTTTTTCTTATTATCCTCTGAATGTCTTCTTTGCACATTGCTTCGAAAAGAGACATCTGTCTGAGCTGGACAGCGATGTGTTTGGCAAATAGGCCAAACATCTACTTCACCAGGTTTACAAGTTTCAGTTGCTCCTGTATTTTCGATTGTGCTTTCGCCTTATCGCCAGATACTGAACGAGCAAAGAGTTCTGTTAACATTCTTCATATTATTAAAAATTAAATTACACGTGCAAAAAATATTTTTCGCAGGTGCCACAAAATGAAATGACTACTAGAAAATTTTAACAAAGGCTAGAAAGTTTCGTTGTATACCGTAGGCATCTAAACATTTCGTATATATATTTAGCACCTAGGACTTTTCGAATAACTAAACTAAACGAAAGGTGCCAAACACGTATATGGAATGTTACTTTGGTGTGAAATTCATATGCGAAATGTTAGATATTCGTAGACCAAAAAAGACGACTTTTTATTAAAATCAGTTTAAACGTTGATTGAATAATCCAAATAGATCCGCAACGCTTATGGAGAGAAACGTGCAACCCAAAAAATTAAAATTTCATCAAGAATCAGCGCCTCTAGTGGATATTACGGGAAACAACTAGTTACGAATTTGCGCTCATACGAGAATGATCGTAGAAAGAGCTGCCGTTACCTCCCCTATCGTCCCCTTCCACAACCAATTTATGGCAGTACTTACGAAATACGAAGTGTAGTGAGTCAGAAAACTGGACATCACCCCAGCGTTATCTCTGATTTCTAAGAAATATGTCTGTGAAGCATTTAGCACTTCGCCAACGTTTGAATTTAATTTGTCGATATTATATTTTGTATACAGATACGATAAAGATCGACTGCAATGAAAATTATTTGATATGTAATTTAGAATGTTAATAATTATAAAATCAAGGGGTGCCCGATCTAATTTTGTTGTGACTATAATTAATTAATAATTTAATAATAACTTATTTTATAAAGAAAATTTTGCGGACAGATATTATTCTAGATTCATTCAAAACAAAAAAGTGCTTTTTTAATTTTTGTTCTTAAGCTGATTGTTTTCAAGTTATAAACAATTTAAAACAAAAAATAACGAGAGATGATGATCTTCAAGGCTTAGAATAATTAAGTTTCACTTCATTTTTGAAATTATGAAGTACCTAAGTTCAAGCTCAACATTATTTTATTAGGTCTTGATAAGTATTTTGGACTTTCATTTTAAATCATTGTTTTTTAATTATTAATGTAGCCCAGCCCAGTCTTCCCACAAAGAACCTTCCTCATTAACAATTAAAAAATATTTGCAAAAATTGAAAACATGCATAATATGGCAAACATTCTTATCAGGACTTGATACAAGAAATTTCGCATGTTTGTACTTGATGATTACAAAATTAATATTTTTGCTTGTGTTGTGAGCCTTGAAAATCGAAATTTTTCTTTTTTTCTTTTTAGTTTTAAATTATTTAAAACTCGAAAACGATCGACTTCAGAGAAAAATTACAAATGACCTTTTTTTGTTTCGAATGATAAAAATAAAATAAAATAATATCAGCCCAAGCCGAATTTTTATTATACTTCGAATCTCACCTGGGTGGAGAAATTTTCGTTTATTAAAAATTAATGAATGAAAATACTTTACAAAAACTTTTAAAAACATTGTATTTTTTTTTCTGAAAAAACAAAAACTACAATCAACACTTTTACAGTTAAGATATACAGTAAAACCTCCCTTAAGCGAAACGTTTTTAACCGAATCATCGTTTGA